TTAAAATAAAATATTAAAATAAAATATTAAAATATTAAATAATAGGTTTATATTTATACTTACGTCTTATTCATATATGGAATTAACAAAGAAATTGAATAAAGAATTGTTCAATTCATCTATTCTTCAGCCTCAAATCCTTTAAAATATTTAATATTCATTGGTGGTCGACCAAATTCTGATGGCATATTTTGAATATTATTAGACATATGTCTTCCAATTTTTTTCAAAATATTAGATTTTAAAAAATATATATTATTGTTATTTAATTCTGTTTTTGTTGCTAGAAAAAACTATCCAGACCAATGCTAATATATTGCAGGTGTTACTCCTTTAAAGAATAAATGCATTATATTTGTAGAAAATGATTGTAGAAATCGTATTGTATTAAGTTCAAATAAAATATATGAGCCTTTAATCCTAATTATAATAAATAAATATTTAATTAAATTTAATTAAACAAAATTTACATTATTTAAAATTATAAAATTACCTTGCAAGTTTATTTGTTTATTTCTATCAGATTCGAACTGCAATTGTTTAATTGTTGTGACATCTTCATTATATTCTTCATGTGATCACATTGAAAGATTAACAAGATCATAAGATGAAGATCGTAAATTAGAATTTAATGGATAATAAATATGATTATTATATATGCCGTAAATATTACAGAATCGACAAGCCATGTAAGAATTATAGCCTATTAAATTTAAAACTTTTGTAATTGCAGAAATATCACTGGTCTACATAATAGTATGTGCTCGTAGTATAAACTTTCTATTTTTAAAATTAATCATTTCAATACTATCTATTAATATAATAAAATTAATTATTAATACAGTTGTCTCTTATTAATATCAACCTATTGGGCTCGAACAATTTAGTTGATATATGCAGGGGTGAATAACAAAGAAAAAAATGTATTTGTAATATAAAGTATTGCTGCAAGTTCTTTATTTGGATTAATAATTAAAATTACATATCAATATACAGTTGGCCCCCTAAAAATGCATCCCCCTAAGCCTTAGATGCATATTAATTTTCTGGCCCAAATATTTACCAAACTCCCATAAATGCATTTTTTATTATTGTTTTCTAAATGCAAGCTTTCAAAAGTTTGGTTCCGATGATATGCATTTATGGAGGGTTTACTATACATATTATAAAAGATAAAACAAGTTTTATAACAATAACTAGTATGAGAGACCCGAACATTATGCACGAAATCATCGTAAAATGATGGCCTGTTTTGCATAATGATCGTAAAATGTTCGGAGAAGCTTGCCAGCGAAGTGACAAGGCGAAATCAGATGACTTTATGTGATCAGATGACTTTATGAATCACATGGTCAATTTATCATTTAGCTTCTTATAGATATTTGTGTAGTCTTATGGTGTCTTGTTGATACAAGTATTTTCTGGTTGTTGAAATGTGAATTACATGAGAACGGGGAAGCAAGGGGTAATTATATTGATAGCAAATAGAATTCCTATATGTTTTTTCTCACAAAAAATAAAATCATCTGATCGAGCAATAGTTGTTTGTTTTTCTATGATCACATAACTTATTTCGAGGATTTCTATTGGTTAAGGATATTACCGCAGGAATTTTACTTATTAAAAGTTTTTTATTTATGTTGATAGTGATATCTATAAGAGATTGTTATAAAATTGATATATGCGGGAGAATTTTAATATGTGGAAATTGGTTCTATAGCATGTGTTGATAATAACAAGAGGTTGATATCAACAGGGTTGATATTAATAAGGGACGACTGTAATTTAATTTTAAAAAATTCTAACTAAATTAATAAATACATACATTCTAATACTTTGAGTTTATCAACTAATGGTTGAAGAAATATATCTATTTTTTTGAGGCTATTTGGTCCAGAAATTATTCTAGCAATAAGTAAATTTTCTTTTTTTACGCATTTATCAGTAGGTAAATTTGCATTAATATACAAAAAAAACCAACAATCATTTTATTTTTGTTGAAATATTTGGTAACTATCAGTAGATCCAATAAGGTATATATCATAAGAATTAGAAAAAAATTCTTTTTTACAAAGAGCTTTATATAAAATATCATTATAAGACCTTTCATTAGATTTATATGTAGATCTATATAAAATTTTTTCAACGTAATTTTGATCTTTAAATTGAATTTTGAAATGATCTTTAAAAGAAAAATATGTAGCTTTTTTGCGAGCCTTCTGTTGAGTATCTTGGTTAATATAACGTGATTTATTGCACAGGTCTTACGTAACAACCCATGCTTTTTCACTTATTTATAGCATGTGTTTAAAAAAATAACTAAATCGGAACACTTTCATATTTTATCAAATATGAAAGTATTCAAATTTAGTTATTTTATTTTTATTAAATTGATTTGCCTTCATATTTTTAAAATTGTTTTAGAGCATTAGGGCTTTACTTTTTAAATTGTCATTGGACGGTGTTAGCATTAGTTTGTTTTCATTTTCTTTAAAATTTCTTTGGCATAATAATTATATAATTAGTCATTCTTTAAAGTCTTATTGAAGTCAGGCGTTATTATATCTTCGTTTCTATCTTCATTTTCTTTAAATTCATATTAAATAGAATCGCACATTTTTAGATTTTGCAATTTTTTAAAATTCATACTGCTTTCTTTAAAATTCTTACTAGACAGAATCACATTTTTAGCATTTATTTTAAAATTCTTGTTAGACAAAGTTGCTTGTTATTAATTTTTACTTTCTTTAAATTCTTGTTAAATTAGTCATATTTTATTAAATCTTTTTCTTTTATAATTCTTAGTATACAGAATTACTTATTATTAGACCTCTGTTTTTTAAAATTATCATTAGGCAGATTATTTATTATTAAGTCTTCATTTTCTATATTCCACTAAATGGAATCATGTTATTTTATTTTCATTAAACAGAAGTTTTTATATGATTAAAGTTTCATTTTTTTTAAAAAATTTTTTGGATAAGATTATATATATAATTGAAATTTTGCTTAATTAGATTTAGTTTTTCGCTTTTTAAAAAAATTCTTATTGAACAAAGCCTTAACATCAACATTAAAATTGTCCTTTTATTAATGTGAAAAGTGTCGCACAGATTGTTACGTCAGATCCATGCAATAATATAGTTTTATATAGAATTGCATAAAATAACTAAATTTGCAAGGATCAACCCATTTCATATAGCTTTTGGCCATGTGGAACTGGTTAACCCATGCAAATTTGGTTTTTTTTACAACCCATATAATAACTATAACTTATTGCATACAGGACAATTAAAAAGCTATTCATATGGTCTAATAAATATGCAACATGAATCTACACACATATTAACAAATGTTGCTGTCAAAGTAACCATATTTGATAAAAATTTTTTTGCTGAATATAATGTTATATTTTCACAATTAAAAATTTTTAATATTTCTTGATACATTTGATTTGTTAAAATTCTTTTTTGTGCTTTAAGCTCAAGCAATTTAAGAGCTTTCTTCATCGAATCATTTAATTCTTCTGTTTCTGTTTCTGCATAATTTAATAGTAAGTATAAATAATAATAATAATTAATTAAATATTAGTATTAAAAATTACCAGAATTATCTAAAAAATATTCTATAAAATCATTATCATTTTCAAGTATTTCTTCTAATTCTGAATTTGATTCGATATCAGATGATAATGATTCAAATTCATTATTAAGATAAGATAATTCAGATTCATTATTATCAAATCTAATCGTATATCTTCAACTTTATTAGTTATAGTAAAATTTTCTTCAAAATTACTTAAATTGTTAAAAAAAAAAATTAAATTAATTCAAAATTAAATAATTAAATTAAATAATAAATAAATTAATTATATACTTATTATTCTCATCATTATTTAATAGTAGTAAATTAATATATTCATTAATTCTTATATTAATTTATTGAAAATGTCATTGCTATGATAAATATGAATTATATGTTGCTTTTAGTAACCAACAACCATCTTTGTTTTTTTCTAAACAATAATTGCATTTGCATAAAGTTTTTTTGTTTTTCTGATTAGTAAAAGACATTTTAATAATTAATAATTAAAAAAAGAAAAAATATTATTATTTATATCTGTATTTAATTTTTAAAAAATTACATATGATCAGTATTATTGCATCAAAAAATTACGTATAATCAGTATTGTTGTATTAAAATATTACAATGCTTATTAAACAAAATTATAATAACAAGTAAATTTACAGTAAATTATTACAATTGCTTATGCAAATACATAATACAAGTATTAAAATATTATAATGCTTATTAAACAAAATTATAATAATAAGTAAATTTATAAAATTATTACAATTGCTTTATGCAAATATATAACACAAGTATCAATACAAACATATTTGCTTAAAAATTTATAAAATATATATTTATCTAAAATACTTGTTTTAAAAAAGCATATTTATCGATTAAAAACTATATTAGTAAAATATTCATAATCAGCTTTTAATATAGTTAATAAATTCTACCTATTGAGCTTTATTAAAATTTTCTAACCATGTTATTGTAATATCATTTATAAGATCATATACTACCTAATTATTATTAAGTGCTTCTAATAATCCAACTAAACGTGGTGCAGATGTTGTATATATTTGGAGCTTTCTTGCTAAGATATTGTCTAAAAATCTAGGCATTTAAATTGATATTTCATCAAATTCAATAGTTTTTTTCTTTTATTTTTATTATTAATAGTTTGTGAATAATTAGATTTTTCTTGATCAATATTTAATAATTGATAAATTGTAATCTTTCCTAAAAGAAGAGCATTGACCTAAAAAATCACTTTTGCTTCTTTTTGTCTTGTTGCTAATTGTTTTATACAATTTTTTAAATAGGTATAAGCTTGATCGAATTTATATCCCTTAGATTGTAGTAGAATACAGGCAAATTTGCCTGCGTTTTTACACTTTTTTAGCTCTGATTTACTT